GCCAGTGTCGCAACCCGGACCCATCTACGAGAGCTGACGTGTGTTGCACACAAGCGCACGACGTCCATGAACGCCGCGCCGTCGCACGCTCTAGTGTACGCGACGTGCGCAAACGAACGGGCACTCACCTCGACGTGAGAGGCCGCGTACGGATGGGATCCTCCCAAGAGCCCGGTCCTTTACGCTCTTCTGTTCGACGAAGTGCCGACTATCGAGCGATCAGCGCATCGCACCGCGATGGACCTTTTCTGGGCCTCAAAGAACCGTCATGGCACAGGAAGACGGCTCAGCCTTGGATTCGCGAGGTTCGCGTGCACACCGATCCGGTGGCGCGCGTGCGGTTGTGAGTGCAGGAACCCATCGTGCTCTGCTGGTGTCGCGGCCCGGTCACGTCTGTGCGCACAACGTCCACGGTCGCTGCGGGCATGATGTACTCGCTAGGGCTCCAAAGCTGGCTACGGTGGGCGATTGCGATGTCCTTATAGTCGAGACGCATGCCGCGGCGCATCCGTCCACAATCCAAGGTGGTTGTACTCTAAGTGAATTAAGCGATGCGCGAGAACGCACTCGGCACTCACCACTGGAGCCTCTCCATTGAGGGACTGAACCGGTGTGCAGTTATCCTCGGCGACGTGCTGACCGTCGAGCGATCGACTCGACGTACCATGGGAGGTTGCCTGTGGATGGCGAGTCACCGTCGCAACGTCTGTGCGAGCCGTGGCTCCGCAGCTTGAAAGTTGGCTGCACGCGGCCGTCGTTCGGCTAAGATACCTGCGGCCCGCGGTGCTTTCATCCTCCGATTTCAAAGCAGTTGACGTGCATGAACGACGCGGGGGCAGCGGGCGCACTGCGCTCACGGGGCTGGCTATAGTGTGATTGAATGGCGCGGGGGAGTTGGGTGAGGTGGACGTCTGCAGCGGATGCGCAAGCGCGGCGGAGGAAGGTCATAATGAAAGCGCACGCACGTCTTGAGCATACGCGGATGTGTGAGGTAAGAAAGGACGTACGGAGCCGACCACCATCCTCTCGCCGCTGTCCCATGCATAACCCATCCTGCGACTGGCCGTCCGGCGTGAGGAGTTGAAATAGCGAGCTGGGATGACCGCAGACACGTCGGATGTGTGCGACGTCCGAGTCGAAGGACGGTGGGCTGTAAGCACAATGAATGAGAAACGCATCGTCGCCTTTGCATCGAGCTCCGCACGTCCGAGCTTGAAGCGAGAGTCATCGAGGTTGTGCATGAGCAGAGCGGCTGACGAGAGTGCGGCATGAGACAGCTGTCCGACGAGCACGTACCCATGTGAAGATGCTGTGCTAATGTGCGCTTCTAGGGACTGCGCATGTACGCGCTCGATGCTTTCTTCCACAGCCCTTCGGGTATCCCACCCATGCAGATGGGTCCTGGATCAAAACCCCGAATATGTTGCGGGGGAGTTTCGTGAGCATCTCATTTCACCGCTTGTTGGCGTGCAGAAACCGGGCGGTGGCCCCAGGTAGCATTGCAAGTTTATGATAATTCACGTCAACATCTTTCGTCATGCATCGCACTTCTCCCGACTGCGCCTCGGAACTGTGAACAACAATTTTGCCCCCGCAGCTCCCGATGACCCTGCCTCGTGCGCCGCAAGGCTATGTCCATCGTCATCACATATACGCCAGCCGATCAGCATGCATGCCTTCTCCATTTCTCCCAGC